ATATAAATATTCCTGTATATATTCGTATATACATACATATATCGAGTTTCCACATCTCCTATTAGCTTTTACTGGTTATAAACTTTTTCTTTTTAAGCTAGAGAGTACCATAAGTCCTGTAGAAAGAAATGTCAGCCTATGCACCTGTAGTGATGTATATTCATTTTCTATCACACTTATCAACTTGCACTGATATCACACCCTTTTCCTCAGGAAGGAAGCATCCTGAGCCATGTGTATTAGAATAGCAGCCTATACAAGTGCAATGATATATACATCAATTTTCTACCACCCTTATTAGCTTGCACTGATAATACGCTCTTTCTTCTCAGGAAGGAAGCATTCTGAGCCATGTGGATAAGATTAGCAGCCTGCAACAGCTGTCAATACATGTGTTCTACAAGCTGTCGATGCAGGGCCTGACGTATGTGTGTGTATAAACATATCCGGGCCTGAAGTATGTGTGCGTATAAACATATCAAGGCCTGAAGTATGTGTGCGTATAAACCTATCAGCGAGTACCTCGGGTTTTAAATCGTCATATACATGCAGTGGAATGATCATATCTCAGGCTCTGATGCGGATGTGCCAAGTGACGGCATTGTATCTGCACCGGCGAGTGAAGCTATTACAATCTCCCTAGGAAACGAAGCTGCTAGCAAACTCAGAGTCTTTGATAGACTATACCTGCCACTGATGCGTGGGAGAGCGGAGCCCCAGAGGCTGTTGCTACTACGGATCCTGCTGTAGCTACAGATAGCGCTGGAGCCATGGATGGTTCGCATGAGATCGATGATCTGGCCCGTGATGGTGCCTCCGTATCTGATGCGGATGTGCCAAGTGACGGTGTTGTATTCGCGCCTGCGAATGAGGTCATTCCGGTCTCCCTGGGTAGCGAAGCTGCTTCTATAGACAGCCATAAGCAGTTCTTTAGAGGCGACAGATGAGCTAGCAGCTTCGCTACCCAGAGACGGATAGGAATGACCTTATTCGCAGGTGCCAATCAATACAGTCACTTGGCACCTGTGCAGCATACCTTGAGCAACTGGGCACATCACCGATCTCACGTAATCCATCAATGAGCCCTAGCGCTATCTGTAGCTTCAGCATCGTCTGTAGCATTGACAACATCTGTAACATCGACAAAATCTGGGGCAAAACACGTGACAGGTGTAGCACACACACGTGACAGGTGTAGCACACACACGTGACAGGTGTAGCACACACACGTGACAGGTGTAGCACACACACGTGACAGGATTAGCACACACACGTGACATGTGTAGCACACACACGTGACAGGTGTAGCGAATCCGTCAGAGGCGCTGAGTTCGCCAGCAGCTGCGCTACCTAGGGATATAGGAATGGTCACACTCGCAGGGGCAGATATCACTTGGCACGTCTGCATCAGACCCTGAGGCACCATCGATCGCGACTTGGGTGTGGTGTATAGGTAGGAAGTATACATGTTGGTCGTTGGTGTGGGCGTAGAGTACTGAGTACTCTGGTGGGTTTATAGGGGCTTTGAAATGCAAGGTTGACTTACCGGTATCGATGCACCTCATCATGTATGTATGAGTATGTAAAACTCCAATTATGAGATTCTTTTATAAATTCTGTGACGTTACTGTTATTGTGTTTGTATTTTGGGGTACTTCTGGCTGCATCATTGATTTAGACTTGCACTGGTACCTTTGGGGCGTCGTAAGTGACGATCAATTCTCCTATGAATATCAGATTACTCGTATGTGATTAAAATGAAGTAAGATGTGTACTTTTATATTATAAGTACTAGAATCTTGCTTGTATTTAAACATGAATTCACACACACACACACACACACA